ACCATCCAAGTTGGATCAAACTGACAAGCCAGTCCGGACAAACCCTCGCCAGTCATCACGCTTGAAACGAGGCCACTTGCCAAAATGAAACCAGGAGGGGGAGGGGGGGCGCAGCCTGGACAATTTGAAAACGACAAAAGATGAGCCAAGCATTTGGACGCAAGTTTGCCTTTGCATGTTTTATATCCCAAGATGGGAGGATGCTCCAAGCGAGAGTGCGGGTCCGAGACGGAAAGCTACGGCGATCCCCTCGGCACGAGCTCGATTTTAGCCAAAATGTGAAAATGCCTTATGCAAGAGCAAGATTGCGTGCTGAGATGCTAGGAACCTACACACGAGAGAACAATTTAAAGCCAACAATTCAAGCGCACGTCATGCAAGAGCGCGAATTCAAGTCAAAATACGAGGACGCTCCGCATGACAAAGAGCACGATTTCGAGCTCCACACAAGATGAGGAAGCCGTCACACTAGCATGTTGTGCCACAAAGCAGAAGTTTCGCATGAGTATAGCTTGGAGACCTTCGGTGCTGCTCCACCTGAAAACACCATTTGCAGTAAAAAGTGAGGGAGCAGAACAATGCTGGTCCAAGCATAACAAAAGAGCCCTACACCAAAACAACCCTACACGACCCTCCACAACCCTAAGCCGTAAACAACTCTCAACACTCAACAGCACAAAGGCCGCGCACGCAGACCGAAGCATATAAGATATGTTATGAAAGACTTGCAAATTCAGAGGCTTGCTTCGCCCCCGACCCCACCTACGAAGAGCAACAGCTGAGCTACCATTTACAATCCCTTGGTAAAGCTAAGATTGACAGCAGCTCATTGATAACCCTGAACCCGAAACCCGGAACCCTGAACCCCAAACCCAAACCCTAAATCCTAAATCCCAAACCCAACCCCTCAGGGTCCCTTAAGAAGGTAATATTGACAGCTATTGACAGTAGCTCAGCTGCTTAAACCACACAAAACTTCCTAAACCCCAGACCCTTAATAGTATCTACTTAAGGGGGACTATAAGCTAATCCCTATAACTCCTATCAAGCCCTTAAACCGCGCCTGCTGACCTTGGCTTCGCGGATCCAGCCCTTTGTCTGGCCTAGCTATCATGGCTCGCGGTTCGGTTTAGGGTTTAAGGCCTTGGGGGTTTTGAAGTTAGGGTTTGGGGATTTGGGATTTTAGAGTCTAGGGTTTAAGGGTTTGGGGTTGAAGGGTTTAGGGGTTAGGGTTTAGGGTTAGGAGCTGTAGGAATGAGAGTTTTGGTTTTATTGTCTAAGGTTTTCATAATGGAAAACTTAAGCAGCAATCACATATAAAGGCTTCACGGGTCTACTGCGTCATTGTTGAGAAGAATCCATAGATTCTCTTCTACTCAAAGCCAATGAGGAAAATTAGGTTACAAGTGTTCATGGCATCTCAATAAGGAACCAGCTTAGAACAGCCACCATTAACCAAAATCTCAACGGTAAAGGCACATCGGACAGCTCAAGCAACTCCACATGCATATGTGCTAAAATTTGGATGCGTGAAAAGCAAGAGGGCGGTAATCATCCCAAACATGAGGACCCTAAAGTGGAGCCAAAGTTTTGGCACATAATCGCACTGATATCAACGAATGGAGTTTTGAAAACAAACTTGATAGCACAGTCTACAAGAGACATGGCTCTGGCTTCAAGCATTCAATTCTAGACTTGGAGGCCTCGAAACAAGCCATCGACTGGTGAACAACTCTTGGGATGAGTAAGGCCATGTGGGTCTCAGCTTAGTACCTGACGCACTTGATGCAAAAAAATGGCTATGCAAGGCATCACTCAAGATACTGCCCTCTTGCTGCAAAACCTCAACATCAGCCAGCACTTGCTTCACACGGCCTACACCAAAAACCTGAACTCCAAACACACAAAATTATATACAAATATACCTAAATCATAAACCATACACCGTGAGGATTCTAGAGTTGGGGGTTCCCAGGTTTGTGGGTTCCGTTGAATTTGCGGCCAGTGGCTTCCTGGGTCTGCGCAATATATCCATGGGCTCTCGACAGGGTCCCTTCGCAGTATGCTGACGACTGTCCCCACCCTGGGCGTAGCGCATGAAGTTGAGGATTTAGGGTTTAGTGTTCGGGGTTTAGGGGTTAGGGTGTCGGGTTTAAAGAATATGTAGCTTCCAATCCAAAGAACTTTCCAACAAGGAGACCTTCTCCCAAATCCAATTTTGGGGTCTTCCGACCCTATACACGGAGACCCTGACTCAAAACAATAAGGCTGCGAAAAACCAAGTACATCCACATACCAAAAAAAACGAACCTCAACACGAACAATCCAGGCGGTACCTGGCCCAGGACGGGGTGTGTTTTGGTTGCATCAAATTAAGATTGGGGACCACATTACCCCAGCTCAAAAAACCCTAAGCCGCTCCCAGAATCTTCGGTCGCATGGATACAACACCCCTCTGCATGTTCAGCCCCCGCAATGCGGAGGTCATGCAAGGGGAAAGACAACACAGAGAAAAGCAACATAAGCCCCATAAGGACCATAAACTCTTGCGATGCGGGTGCTTCCCAAACCGCCCCCACAGTGGACAGCCACTGGCCCAAACTCAACCCAGACTCCTATGCTCCGCAATGTACCCGAATTTGTGAAAACTTCAAAACACCATCAATCCCCAAAATCTCTGAACCCCTGGCCCCCGATCCTCAAAACCAACCCTGTGAACTTGCAACCCTAAAGTCCAAGCTCTGCCCAAGGAGCTGAAAAGTCTCTTCATCTGGGCCAACTTCCCGAACAAGGCGGCCCTGCTCCATACCTTCCAAAGGGATCTGACTGCCATCCATGTACCTTCAGGGTTTTAAGGTTGAAGATGTGCCTAGTTTAGGGCGTAGGGTTCAGGATATGGCTTTGTCATATGGGCAATTCATGTCATGGTTTGTGTGCGGGGGATGTGCTTCCCCTTGATACCGAAGTTTTGGGATGAAAGCGTTGGACTAAGTCGTGAGTTGAAGATATTGGTTTCTACAGTTGACAACGTGGAACGTAGCACTTTGGGGTTGGGAGTTTGAACTTCAGGGCTGAATTGGCACAAGTTCATCCCGCAATGTCGCACAAAAACTCGATACAATCCACATTACCATTTTACTTGTATGCCCCTATGCAACACATACAACCCATAGATGCCCAATGCGTCTCTATAAAACCTATAGATCCCCCTCATATATAAGCCTGTAACGGCAACCTTGGCGCCTGCATCAGCATTCTACTCTGACTGCCTTGCAGAATCAGCCTTCAACTTAAGTCCCCAAGCCAGAAAGCCCAACGCGGCTTTTACAGCTGCCATGCGCTCCCAACACTCTTTTGGAAAATCTTAAACATTTCCGGCTGGCGCGTCGGCGCAGAGACCCAACGCGGCTTAAGTTTTATGATTTCAAACCGTATATACCTTGATGAAAGAACATACCGCGAGTGACACTAGGATCAGAAAACAAGGACATGCCTTAATGAAAGGCTATTGGGCTTCATATACTCCTCTTCAACCCTATAGAACCTTACATATGTCATATAACCATAGAATATGACCCTATACACCCTAAAGCCCCTGGACCCTAAACCCTAAACATAACAATGACGAGTCCCTCAGGGTACTCCAATTTCGAGAGACAGTGTGTGTGTAGGCATAACCTTCGGGGCTGGAAAAACCCTTAAACCCTAAACCCTAAACCCTAGAACCAGCGCCTGAGGAAGAGATCGTCCAACTCCGCCGTCTTCGTTGGCGGCGGCTCCTGCTGGTTTAAAGCTTTGGGAATTTGGGCTTAGGGCTTAAGGTCTAAAATTCAAAGTTTTGGGCTTAGGGCTAAAAACTTAATATTTGAGTGTAAGTGGTTTAAGGCTTTGAGATTGGCATTTTGGAATTTTCGGCTTCAGGCGTAGGGAGAACCCAGGTAAGTACATAAAGTTTTGGGAACTTGGGGTAGGGTTTTGGGAGAACCTAGGTAGATACACGGGGCTTTGCAAACTTGGGCTTAGGGAGAACCTAGCTGGACCTAGCTAGATACAGGTGGTTTTGGGAGTCGGGGTTAACATTTAAGAAGAACCTGGGTAAATATAGAGAGAGGGATTAAGTCAAAAACGGAGAACCATGTAAAACACAAAATGGACAACAAAGTGGAAACGGGAACCGTCTAGGATGAACCACTTAGAAGCGGTGTATGAATGTTCCAAGACACAACATTGTTTACAATATTAATTATAACACGACACAGGTTAACAGCAGTTTACCCCCTGAGTGCCTTCCAACTAGGGCAGAACACATCTGGATCTGCGCTGGCTGGATTGAGGATTTAAGGTACAAAAGTTAAGGCTTAGGGCCTCGGGCTCTCAGCTACGGGCAATTGACATTTTGAAGCACAACTAGATTGGACTGCTGTCAATGTACTTAAAGTACCTTGCCAGAATATGGAAAGTGGTATACAACAGCAGGACCTCAGAACCATGGACCAAGACATTGGCAGATCGGATTGGGATAAGAAGTCCCGTGAGCTCAGATCTCGAGACTGCAGAAATTGTCGTTTTAGAAAAAGACCAATATTGACTGACAACCTTCCATATCTTAAAGACCTTCAGATCTCGACTGGGGATCTTCCATACCTTCTCATGCCTTTCCACTATGGCCATGCATGGCTTGTATGCGTGGACACCCCCAAAAAACTAGGCCTTGAGCAACAAGACCTGGCTTACATGAACCGCAAACACGTTGGAAAGGCAGAAGTTGGCCTTTAACCTTAAACCGCAGTCTGTAGGGAAACTCTGCAACGCACATGCTTAGTAGAACCTTTTGATACACTCCTGTGGTCATTCGAGCACTCGAACTCCCCCTACGAAAGACCAGCCCCTCACCCCTGCCCCAAAAAAAGTTCAGGGTTTAGGGTCTAAAGTTTTCATTGATGTAATTGATATCATTGATATCACGACTGTTGAAAGCATCTGAAGCAATCAGAAGGTTCCTGATCCTCTTCTCCCAGGGCAAAAGCATTCTCGAAGAAGTCCTCTTCCTGGGATCCGTTCATGCTGTTAGAGATAACTATTTTTGGGTGTATGTACGGTTTAGGGGTTATATAAAGGTTCGGAGCTATTGTTTATCATTTAGGAATTGGCGAGTTTCTCAAAATCCGCGGCAATTGGGGACCCTCGGATACGCGGGAGCGCAATAGGGGAGAGTAACGTTCTTCATCCAAGTTTATGACATGACCAAAAAGAAACAAACCTCACAGCTACTGCAGAACCCCAAATGAGACCTCAGAGCAAAATGCGCCTGGCAGTGGGGCCGTGAAGTGTGAAGATATGAGGCAGAACCGAGAAAGCATGGCTTTGCAGCCCTGTAAGTAACCCTGCAACCTCAACGCCTGATGCTTCGCTATGCTTTGAACCCCAGCTCCTTTGATAGATGTTATGCGAAGAAACCATGCTTTCCAACATTAAAAAACAATGGACTTCACCATGACAAAACCACACAAATACAAATGCCTGGACCAGCCAAACAACCAATAAAATGTTTCCATTCCCGTCGATGCGAAATACTTTTCTGTAGATGACCCTCTCAATCCATTACATGCTTAGGTTCCCAAATCCAGACACACACAAAATGCGAGCATGAACCTTGAAGCTTGAAAGTCCAAGTGAAGGACCAAAAAGATACAAACAAAACCCGTCTCAAAAGTTCCAGGTATAAACGTTCCAGGTACAAATCTTACATGACCCTCAATAGGCCCCATCGAACCCCTGAGAAACCTAATGCAAACAGAAATGTTAGTTTCCATAAATAGAGGCCCCCCGTTACAGACTCAAACATACTACAGTGCCTATTGTGGGTACCCTCGCAAAAAGGGCCCCCTCTTTTTGGAAATCCTCCAAATGAAGCCCAAGCCAGTAACCAGCTGTACCGCTCGAAGAAATCGTTGCTTGCAACGCTCTCGCCCCGCTTGATCGAGCAGCTCGCCTTCCTTTGAAGGAGTTGGAACCGGGTTTTCGGGTTTAGGATTGAGGGTTCATAGGGCTTAAGGTTTTGGGTTTAGGGTTTCGGGTTTTGGATTTAGGGTTCATGGCTTGGGAAAAAACAGGAAGTTGCTCCATCTTTGCAATTACAGCACTTGTTGTACTTCTTTGTAAAGGTACCTGGAAAACCTATCTACCCCACAGTATGCGCTTCTTTCATTCAAGGTAATGCGGGTCTCCCAAAATTAGGGTACCTTTAGGAGGGTCATAGCAAGCTTTATAATACGGCCGGGTCTTTACTGGTGTCCCCTTCTGGGCTTGGGGTTTAGGAGTCAGCTATATCCTAAGCAAACCCTAAACCAAACCCGTACACCCCAAGCAACAAACTGCAAAGGAATTACGCGACATTCTTGCGGCTAAGCCAGCTGCGTGTGGAATAGAGTTGTTGCCTTTCAGGGTTTACCTGGGGCTTTTAGCTTAAGCATGTCCTGGATCCAACAAAACCCATGCGCTGTCAAGCTAAGGACCTTAGTTTAACAGGTGGATTCTGAGAGTTTGGGATTTAGGTGGTTGGACCCAAACTTCCATGTCAAAGAGTGTACAAGAAGTGGGAACAAATCGTTAATTCCTCGGAGCTTTGAGGACCTGCAGGTTTCAAGTATCGAGGCTCAATGCTCGGGCTTGCAAGTCTGAGTCTGCAAAGCCGAGATGCGTTGTAGGGTTTAGGGCCTCGGGTTCCAGTCTTCCTCAATTTGATGATTAGCACATATGGATGATCTTGATATCTGTGGTTTCTATCACTTACACTGCCTCCCCCGCAACACAAGACATGTGCTGCGGGTTGCTGGAGTCTTGCTGTCGATGGACACAATCTTGCATGAACCCTAGACTTGGACCCTAAACCCTAACCCTATATACCTGAATGCTTGAAACTGCTGGTACTATGTTATACTTGGGGGGGTCATGCAAGATGTTGTTCATGAACCTCAGGAATCCCCTGCCCCAAAGGACAAGCCCTCACCATCCCCAATATTGAATACTCCCCCTAAAAATATATAGCGCAGGGTTTATTATCAGGGTTTAGGGCTTAGGGTTTGGGGTATAGGGAGTGGGGAGGGTTACTATGAGGCATAAGACCTGCACCCTACTCTCAATCTTCTTTTGCATTCGCCTGAAACCCCCTTACAAACCTTTTAAAAAGGCGGGAGGGTTGTTACTACAGGAACCCCCTGAACCCTAAACCCTAAACTCTAAACCCCTAAACCACAAACCCTAAGCTCTAAACCCGAAACCCTAAACTTAAACGACTAAACTCTAAACCCTAAACCCTAAACTCTAAACCCCAAACCCTAAACCCGAACCCTGATTCAGCATACTTATAAAGATCCAGGAGTCCTTGTCCAGCAGCCCACGCAGGTAAGCGACCTAGAGCTCATGGTTTTGGGTTTATGGTTTAGGAGTTTAAAGGTTTAGGGTTTGGGTGTTGAAGGGTTTAGGGGCGTAGGGTTAAGGGGTTAGGGTTTAGGGTTTAGGATTTGGGTGTTGAGGGGTTTAGGGTTAAGGGGCTTAGGGTTTAGGGGTTAGGGTTTAGGGGTTAGGGGTTAGGGGTTTAGGGGTTTAGGGTTAAGGGTTTAGGGGTCTGGGAGTTAGGGGGTTATGGGGTGAGGGGGTTAGGGAATGCTTCTAAGGAACTGAAGCTTCTTCATGCCCGTTCACATATAATACACATCCCCCAACCCTGATATTGACACATACGCTCTCTCTTTGCGGGAATTATTCTGAAGTTAGGGGTTGGGGGACGTTCGATATTAGTCTAAAATGACCGTAATATGGATGTGTGGTGGGTAATGTGGCTCCCCATAATGACGACTTAACTTAAGTTCCTTAACAGCAACCAGGTGATGGGATGCTGAACCACAACCCAAAAAATCAGGGTTTATGGTTTAATCTCAGGTGATAATTCATCACTTCCGGCGAAGTGAAACATACCTCCCCCTCCTGGTTAAAAAAAAAAAAATCTGCCATGTTCGGACTACGTATACCAGATGAGCGCAAGCAAACAACAAGGCTAGTTTGAAGGCGTTATTGACTACAAACGCTTGTAACTAGACTGCTTAATTCGCTAGAACATAGCATAAGTTGCATCTTGAAAAACTTGAACCCAGGAACGACTTCCTCCAGCGAGGTATGAAGGTCGATCCACTCGAACAGGACAAAATTCCTGACCCAGATTTCTGCTAGAATGAAATGCTCACAGATATCATGTGAAGATGCAGATTTTCAAAATCTTGTCCAAATCTACTCCCAGATTCTCACGGACCGCTCCTTGGTCCACAATCTTTGCCCAGGACAAATAAGTCCACCTTCGCTGAGATATGGGGTTTCCGCAAAGTAGTGGTCTTTTGAAGGGTTTGTAAGAGCGATATGGGATACGGGGGGTGGTAGGGTGCAGAGGAGCGCTTCCAAATGATGAGGTCTCTTTCTGGCAGTCGCTAAAAGTAGAAAAATACTGTTTGAGGCTATGTACGGGAGATCCTTGCAAAAAGCTTTCACATTCTACGAATACAGAAGTCTACCTTTCAGAACTCGCATGAGGCCCAAAGAGGAGTCCAGGACAGCAAGTACCGGATGATGAGATCATGGGTTACCCTACCACCCCCGCCACTATAGAACCCTTCCCAAGGCTCCACTGAACCTCCTTTTTGGTAGATTGGAAACAATCTAATGTTTAAACGTGCACGGATTGAGATGCATATGATCTGCATACGGGCAAATCCGCACCAGCACAAACACATAAAAATGCAGATACCGCAAGAAGAAGCTCAGCACGAGCAGTCAAGGCGCGATACGACTTGCCATCAATCCAGTTCTCAACCCTACAACATCCCAACAACGTCTTAAGCTGAATTTCATTGAAGAATACTGAACTACCCTTCCCTTTAAACTATGATGAAACACAGCCACACCCCTATCATTCAAAACTTTCAAGTATGGTATCATAGCACCATGGGGACCCAAACTTAAATCCTATATCCCTAAACCCCAAGTCCCTCGAGCCTTAAACCCCAAACCTCTAAACCCCATAAAACCCACAATAGTTTCCAATTTCTTTTCCATTATCCCAATATTTTCCCTATAGAGTCCCAAGCTTACTATCTTACCCCAACCCTACTGACCCTAACCAAGGAAGGGATAGCCGCTACTTCAATTGCTAGGCACTCGCACACCACAAGGACCGAAAGCATCTCCCCCAGGTTGCCACTCCTTGGGGTCTCAAGTTTCAGGGTTTAGGGTTTAGGGTTGAGGGATTTAGGGCTTAGGGTTTAGGGCTTAAGGGTCTTTCGGGTTCAAGCTTAAAGTTTGTTGTTTGGGGTTCTGGGTTTTGGTGTAAGGGATGCTGCAATTAATGATGTATTGAATGCTTCCCGAAATCCTGGCAGCATCTCGCATGAGGCGGTCGAAGCCTTCGGTGCAAGGTGCCTCGGAAGCTGTTCGAGTTGTGGTTCTTGTTTGAGCTTAGCGCATGAGGACCCAAAGAATGTAGGGGTTCAGGGTTTATTCAGCAGAGTCCCATTTCAGCAGGACAAAGACCCTTCAATATAAACGACGAAAAGGTGCTCGGTCATACTCTAAGCAAAATGGGCTTGTCCGAAAACGACATAAAGAACCGAGATGCATGTGGGATTCGTGCCCGCTCCTTCTCCGTGCAGCGCGGAAGTTGCTGGAAACAACGCTCGAAATATGTGTTTTCTTTGCCTGTGATCAAGGCCAGAAACTGGCAACCAGGGATTCTGTCATCCAATGTCCTCGCATGAGAAATCATGCTGGACAGCAGCACAACAAACGCATCCAAAAACCGATGGTCTTGGATCAAATAGCGCCGCATGACTTTGAGATCCAACGTTCCAGCCGCCAGTTGCTTTGTCCAGCGATGGTTGATTACACGGTTCCACTGCTCAGCAGCATGTTGCCGCAACTCTTCCGAAAAGGCAGTTGCCATTGACGATGTCTACTGTACGATTTTGTATCGGAACCTGTGACTGGATAGGATAAACATAAAATGTTGCGGTCCTTGGTGTTGCTAAAGCTGGCCCTTCTACGGCTTTGCCCCTCTTGCAAACAGATAGCATGGCTGCAACAAGGTCTTGGTCATCCCTTTCCCAAGTGGCAGTCTTTGCAAACTATGCGTTCATGATCTGGCACCTACACGACCAAATTCTGAACATACTGTTGATGGAAGAAATCTTGCACCGCCTAAAGTCCCTAAAGTCCTAGGAATTACAGTAGCGTAGGGCGCCTAGCTGGTACAAGATTTCTTCCATCAACAGCATTCTACTATCATGTGTCAAAACCACATTTTGCGCATATCCCATTTTCATGTAGCAATCTCAGAAAACATCAAGTGTACATGCGAGTTGATTGATGTCAACCAGTAGTTTTCATTTTCTTTTCCATTATCCGAATATAACCACCATGTACTATAGTAGCGTCCATTCTACCGTGAACATCTAAACAAATTATTTCGGATTATTTCGGGAAATCATCACTTGGAAATATATTAGTTATATGTCTTTACATAAATTTTCAGATGTGTTTAACGAAAAGTGTATCTTTCTGTGCCGTGGTAGGAGGAAAGAGGCACACCTGGCATTTGCTCAGGCACCTGTGGGACTGGAAAAATCCCATTTGGAGGCTGATGGTTGCAAAAATTCCATGACCAATGTGCTGGCACAAACCCTGGACACTGCAAGACCACGAACAATTGTACAAGAATCTTGCGAAGTTGTCGACGGTTGTCATACGCATCCCCGGAACACAAAAAGAATCCGAACCTGTTCAAGGGCACGGGGTTCAAAAACGTAGAAGCCAATCACGTATCCCGGAACAGTAGAACTAGTAGAATCACTAGAACCCCAAGATCGCCACACGAGCAAAACACGTCAATCGACCGCGACAACTCCGAAGCCTCTCGAAAGGCAGTCTGAGAACACTGCAAGCGCGCGCTAGCACTCCAAGCGACTCCAAAACATGCCAAACTGCATTGCAAAAGCAACCAAGTAAACGCTCCTAATCAAGCGCTAATCAAGTCTGAGACCAGCGATGCGACATGTAAAGATGTTCCAAAAAACAGCTGCGCAACCATGAACAATCGATGGGCAAATAGGGAACATTCCAAACGTGGCAACAGTGCGAGCTTTTGCACGTCACGTCAAAAGGAGCATGCGGTGCGGTGGCGCACAGCAAGCCTGCGTCTAGTTAAAAAAGATCTTTAAACGGTATCTTCACAACCATGACTATGAAAGCTCGAAAGCTCCCCCGTCCGGATTTGGCAAGAGCAAGCAAACGGCAAAGAACCCACACCATTTGCAGCTATGCTTTCCTGCAACACACCAATACAGAACTTGATGATGAGAACAGAGGTGTGAACCCACATGGAAGAACAGATATCGGTATTTGCCAAAAGCTTCTGTGCTTCCGAGAACAATCTGAAAGTACAGACTGACATTCCTGCTGCCAACCTCGAAGTTGACGGGCATCCTTTTAAGCACAAGAGGAGTCAACTGCCACAGCAAGGGATACTGCTTTCTCAAGCTCGCATGCTTATTGAGCCAACAAGCTGTCATTAATTTGAAAAATGAACAGCTTCCTGTGCCCACCTAGCGCAGCCCTTTACCCAAACGCGGAATCTTTATTGCCATGAAGCTTGATTTTGCTGGATGCGAATGGTTATTCGACAATATGAAAACAACCGGCTCAAGCCAAGCTCATCCCTGGATATGGTACGCAGCGCAACCAAAGTTTCAACGCAACTCTGATTGGCAATGGCAGGAGAAGAAACCTCGTTGCTCCTGTTTGTCTTGCGTCTCCTTCTTCGCTGCATCTTTACCAGTTCTCTTCCTCCAACTTTTCTGGTTAGCACATTTTGCACGTTTGCGCTAGCAGATTTCACCATTCCCGATGCTTTGTTTTGGAGACACTTTTTTTTTTGCTGCTTGTCGCTTTCTTGTTGTTTTTCATGTTCCTCCCTATCCCTTTGCATTTTCCTCGTCTTCTGCTTCTTTGGCGGCACGTTCAACCATGACCCGGTTTACCTTGTCACGGCTCCAGACTTTTCTGCTGCTGTGCCCCTGCTGTCTAATTTATGACAACTGGTAGCACCTTTCGCACCAAACTTTTTAAGTTTGCGAGCATCGTTGCATGGAGTTTGGCCGTGACGTTTTGCTTGGCGCAATAGTTGTTGCACTGCAACTGTGGGTGACCCCACACATGCTGCACCTTCTTTGAACTTGGCCATAAACAGATGTCTCTGTAGCCAACAGCAAGTTCATAACGCAGAACTGTTTCTTGAACTTTGAGCAAATTTTCATTCCAGCGAATACTGCCTTTTCCCCTTCAGCCGTTTCGAGCTTTGCAGCCTCATTGCCTTTCTTCTCGTGCTTTTCAACCTCGTCAAACATGGCAGTGCCTTCGCCGAGGGACTCATGGCAATCGCCTCTGGGCCCTTACATTTCTTTCATCTTTCTCGGATGCTTCCCTCTCTACCACCAAGGCTGCAACACTAGCGCGCGCAGCACTCCCACCACCTTGTTGGACAAGAACAGGTTCGTGTCATTTTCAAGGGTTTGCGCTTGCGTTTGCGTGCTCCCAAACGTCGGGCGTTGTGAAAGAGGACAACACTCAGCGGCTTAGCGTGAGCGGCCATTCAGTGA